GTCTGACGCGTCTGCCTCCGCGACCCGAAAGGAGAAGCGGCGATGGATGATGATGATGATGATGATGATGCTGATGACGTCGGTTTTCCGTATACTTCCGTGGTTACGCATTTTCAAACACCCATGTTTCACGCCACTTACGGTGTGGCACTAATCTCCGTCTTGCTGCTCTCGGCTTTGTGATGGCTATGAGATGTAGCTCCCTCTTTCTTCACCACACTCTGATAGATTTATCCTTGTCGGAAAGATAAAAAGCGAGTGAGCCGGAAGGGATTCGTAACGAAGATCTTGAGACAGTGAATCTGACGCTCACCGTCCAAAATGCAGTGACAAAGAATTACAGTATAAACAATTCACCCCAAATGGGTCGGACAAAGGACTGCGTACCTTCAGGTCCCGATGAACGACGTGCAGTTGATGGCAATAGGAGATAGCCTCGACGATTTGCGCGAAGTAGCGCTGCGCCTCGTCTTCAGCGATGCCCGTGTCGCTGTGCTGCATGATGAAATCGTACAGGTCATAATCGCCGAGTTCGAGCGTCAAGAATAGTTTTGTCGGCGTGTCAGTCACCTCGTACAGACGAACAATGTTTGGGTGCTGCACCATCTTCATGCAGCGCACCTCTTGATAGAGGTGCGCCTTCGAAATTTCGTCCAACTTGTTCTTGTCGATCACCTTGATCGCCACCTTCTCGCCGGTAAACACGTGCTTGGCCAGCTTAACAACGGCGAAGTGTCCGCGGCCGATTGTCTCCTCCAGATCGTACAGACCCACCATGCTGGTCATGGTTGGGCAGAAGGGAAGTAGTGACCGAGCTGCTGTTGCTGAGGCGGTGACGCAGGCGAATTAGCTGCGTTTGACATCGTTTTCACGGTCTGACGACGAAAAACGCGGAGTAGCCAAAAAAACAATTTTCGGGTGTCTGGTCTTTATAAACTGAGGCAGAATCGAGCATTTAATAAATCTTTCGCTGAAAGTCTTCGCGACGGTATGACTGCTGCCACTTAAAAACGGGCTAAATCGAAAGCGTCAAGAAAGTAAACAAATAAATTCGATCTCCCGCATGTATACGTAGTCCCGCTAGATGTAGTGAAAATGGGAACACTGCCGGAATACGTGTTCATCGTTTTTTGCTCGCACCTGTCGAAACGAAGAAACGAAAACAGTGTTGCCACAAATCTTCAGGAAGAGCATGTCGCGAAAAACCATTCCCGAATCGTACGCCGCACAAACGAAACCGACTCGATCCGAAAAAAATCGCAAACCAGCAGCCGTAGTTTGCAGACGAAGGGAAAGCCAAGACTCTGTTCTACAAACACAGTCGACGATATCTGCAAAAGCAACGAACAAAAACAGCCGGTGTCTTGCAGCTTTAATGAACGATTTTATGACCACAGAAAGACATCGGCTATCGGCAGATCAGGTCAGCGCAGTGACTCGTCCTCTTCATTACCTAGAAAGTAGCCGTGACGAAAGTGTATGTACGAATGTTAGTCGTCGTATCGGCCTTACCAGTAGGTGCGGAATAAATAAAGGTTCTTTTCAACTGACTGACTGTTAGACTGTGTGCAAATCCGTCGAGTCGAACTGATCGACTAGCCGCTTAAGTGTTGTTTTCTTCAATCTTGGAACTTCTTCATCTGAAAGTCGATCATAAAGTTAGCGAACGCATCAAACAAAACTGTCAGCGTACTACGTCACTCACAGAGCCGATCATCCCCTTTTATTCCGCTAATGGGGTTCAACCTCAGATGATGGCTGCCGCGGTAATGAAGCTAAACCCGGCAGTGATATCACCGATAACAAAGACGATAGGTAGCGAAGGCGACCGAAGTTATAGAAATACGGACAAGAATCGAAGAAGACGTAAGAAAGTGAAGGGAACCAAAAATCAACTAGTCGAACTTCGTATACACGTGGCACTTGCCTTCTTTACCACTAACACACCCGTGGATTCACACTTGCAGCAAGCTGCGCGACAAGATGATGGGATAAAATCGGCAGGGTGAGAGCATGGACTAAAATGTAAAAGTGAGTGACAGTTTTCGCGTACGTGAAATCGATTCAACGCGTTAACCCGCTCACATTTTCTTCGGGGTTTCAGCAATCGGATTACGGGTTTACGAAAGACTAACAAGAAGCACGCGAAACAAGACGACATATCCCCGATGATCTAGCGTCTATGTACAGCAAGAAAGAAGCTACAATGAACCAACCTCCTTGTCCCATCGTAGAGCCTAGGCAACGACCAAATTATGGCATCGCATACCCTAACGGAATATTGCGATGCACCTGACATCGCCTGTGTTATAGCCGATAAGATGTTCAAACAAGAAGCCCAGACCAGTCAACAACTGACACGATGAAAATCGCAGGTTGGGAAGCCGCTATGCACTTAAATTCATACTTTCTTATAACTGAACATTCAGACGCTAAACCCGAACGAAAGGACTAATAGCCCTAGCATCTTTATCTTCCAGATCAAACGAGACGAAGTATCCTAACGTGTCGAATCGTGTACCTTCTGAGGGGCGTTCAGTTCGATTCGTAGCGGGCCAGACTCAAGCTGTGCGGTGCCAACTGCAGGCAACTTGGATCGAAGCCGCGTTTGACGCCGAAGTTCTCAACCGATCTGTTCGTTCAACTTCGAATGGATACACAAGTCGTTGT